TCTTCTACATTCTTCTGAATCTAGTTAGTTTTTGAGAACAGATTATAAATTATATAATTATAAAATAAAATTTTTATTGTACATACACTATGTAGTTTAATTTTAAAATTATATTATTTACTTAATTTTTATAAGTTTATAAGTTTATAAGAATTATAAGTTAAATAATATACTATATTATTTTATGTGTTGTACATATAAAAGAATATATATATATAACATATGAAAGAAATACATAAGTATTAGACAGTAATTATTCTCTGCGTTACATTGGTATTTACGCATCGAGAAACGATCGAGAAACAAGAAAAGATTAATAATAGATAATTGTTATTAATAAAAAATATTATTCCTATATACATAAATTTTAATGCACAGATATGATTAAAATAAAAAATATTTTTGTAGTGTACATATGTTACTGTAAACACGTTCATAAGATTTATCTAGATTTTTATTTCTTTGTCCTTGATAATATTTACATCATGATCACTAGTTCTACTGGTATAACGAGAAAATATAGAATTACATATATATAATCAGCATTTAACGCGTTAAAACTGAACGCTGTAATTAATCTAGTTTTATTGTGAGGATAAATTTTATTGATTATTATCACATTTCAGAACACACATGACGACATAACAACAACTAAAAGAATGCAAAATCAAAATTTATTTTAATCAAACCGGTATCTAATATATATTATAATAAATTCGCACTTAATATTGCTTGATTTATGTATTGCTTAGAAATTGATATTTTGTAATGATTCATACTGACAGTGGAGTGTTAAACACACGAGAGTGAAAAATGGTATATTCGGTCAAGAACACAGATTACATTATTTGTGCTTAATTTGTGAATTTTTATATAATTTCTAGTTTGCAAGCAAACTGTGTGCTGATTTATTTATTTATCATATAATTAATGGAGATACTTATAATAAGTCGATGGATGTTTAAAAAACACATCTTTTAATTAAACTTAATTATTACTTTTGCATAGTTACTTTTTTAAATAATAAATCTCAGTAATTTGAACTAAATAGTGAACTTATTTACTTTAATTAACATTTATTTGTTTACCGATGTATATATACATCAGATATATGTACACATATATATATATATATACACATATA